AGGAAGCTGTCCACTGCTGTACCCTACAGGAGGAAGACACTTTAGAGAAACATCATAAATTATATTATTTCTCTTGATTGGATTTTGTCATTTTCTCAACCAACCAGACACTTATTATGGAAAGAGTCTTTAAGTGTTTGTTGTACTCCCTGGTGACTTAACCTAACCAACAGTGTTAAGACCTATCTTGTTCTTATACTTATGGTCATCAACAGGGTTCTGTACATGGTTTATGGACCACAGGACCTCCCCAAATTCACGGATTATTGTTTCGCGATCGTCTATAATTCGTGGATGACACTCTGGATGTACCCAAGAATGTATGTGGGTAGTTTTAAAGTTGCCGGCATTTTCACAGCTGGGACAGGGAGCCATTCATTCTAGAGACAGTAATTTACTTTAGCTGTACAGTATTGTATATATGTGTGTGTGTGTGTCTACACACACACACATATATACAATACAGGTAAAAGAAATAATTGTCCTAAGGGCAAACACATAAAGGGAATCTACGTTTCTTTGTATTCAAGTTAAAATGTATCCCCCCCCCCTCCCCATCCGCAAATACTATTTGCAGATTTGGCAATTCACGGCTATTTTGAGATCCTAAGCTCTGCGAATTTTGGGGGCCCGTATTAAAACTTAGCGGCACGGTATATGAATGATACAAGTCAAGCTGTCACTCTTTGTGGTCTTATAATGTAGTACTGTACTGTTCTGTTCTGTTCTGTTCTGTTCTGTACTGTACTGTACTGTACTGTACTGTACTGTACTGTACGTCTCTTTATTTTTAAGTCTTAGTAGTGTTTTGAGTGCTTGTGAAATACAGCAGATATTTAGAAGAACTGGTGCTTTTGAGAAACTATAGACCAGCTTTTATTATTGTTATCATTATTGTTACCTAACCTTCTCCACACATTACCTATCTTAATACAAAAGTACTGTAACTACCCTAACCTAAAGTACTGGAACAAGCTTAGCAACTTTGTAGTAAGTGCTGGAATGCTGGAAAGTTTCAAAAGGAGGCTAGATAGATTCATGGATGATAGAGAGTGGTAGTAACTCTTGACAGGAGTTGCCATGCACAGGCCAACCAGCTTGTTGTAGACTCCTTATTTTCTTATGTTCTTATGTTCTAGCTACCCTAACCTAAAGTACTGTAACTACCCTAACCTAAAGTACTGTAACTACCCTAACCTAAAGTACTGTAATTGCCCTAACCTAATAATATTAAACACAGCATCGGGACTGCAAGACGAGGTAGATGCACTGTCGGCTAAACACGCCAACGTTGAGTCTGTTCTGCTTGATGTAGTCGAGCGTCCTGACCTTCTGGCAGACTTGGTGAAGGGCGTCGACGTCGTGGTCTCTCTCCTGCCGTACTCGCTTCACCACGAGGTCGCCAAGCACTGTATAACTCAGAAGGTGGGCTCTGGGGTTAGGTTAGGTTACAGTAGGAGAATTTAGGTTAGGGTAGAATGAATATCAACTACTGTACCTAGAAAGAATTGAGAGGAGAATGACAAGACTGTTATTGCTTCTAAGGCGCTGTTGCTGCTGTTACCGCGGGTAGTGTTACTGCTGCTGCCGGTAGTGCCAGATGTCGTGCCACTGTAAGTGTTGCTGGTAGTGCCAGATGTAGTGCCACTGTAAGTGTTGCTGGTAGTGCCAGAGGTAGTGCCACTGGTAGTGTTGCTGGTAGTGCCACTGTGTTGCTGGTAGTGCCACTGTAAGTGTTGCAGGTAGTGCCAGATGCAGTGCCACTGTAAGTGTTGCTGGTAGTGCCACTTAAGTGTTGCTGGTAGTGCCAGAGGAAGTGCCACTGGTAGTGTTGCTGGTAGTGCCAGATGTAGTGCCACTGTTAGTGTTGCTGGTAGTGCCACTGTGTTGCTGGTAGTGCCACTGTAAGTGTTGCAGGTAGTGCCACTGTTAGTGTTGCAGGTAATGACAGATGCAGTGCCACTGTTGCTTTCCGATGTGTTCTGTAAACAGTTACATCATTATTACTTCCTGTAAGTAAACAAATATGTTATCAAAGTGTCCTGTATTGTACTTCTGTAAAGATCATTTGTATTAAGTATGAGAGTCATGGGAGACAAACTCCATCATGTAAGCAATACTAGACAAATGTCAGGTATTGAAGGTAATAATTCAACAAGTACAGAGTACTAAATTAGAATCAGAGCAAAAATATTAAAAAGGTTATGTTACCTTTAAGCAGCACATCCAGAAGCTTGTTGGCAATGATGGTGGGGAAGGTCATCAGCTCCACACAGTTTACACGTGCACAATGCTGTTGGTGAACTCGTTGAATCGCTGCTTTACTGATGGCAACACAGGGTTGCCTTGTATAGCCATTGTCTTGGGTTAAGGAAGTCCCACTATGCTAAATAAGGTTGTCACTTAACCTACAAAATTGAGGTTTCACATCTAATGGACTATCCTCTCCATATAGTCAGTTAATGGAAGTTTGACTATAATGAGCGTAGGTACCTTAAGGATCTGTCGTCCACAGTTTCATATTTGAATAATTGTCCAAATGACATTTCAAAAATTTTAATTAATTTGGGTAGATAAATATACACGTTTTAATCAAACATTTCTTTATTAATGTGGTCAAGTATATATACAGGTATTGAAAAACTTGTCACATTTCTACAACACAAAATGGTAGGGAAGTAAACCTGACTGCCTGCAGCAGATTGTAAAATGGGTACTCAAATTACAGGAACAATTGCACAAAACATTTATTTGAAAGCGCATTAAAAAAAATGGTTTAAGATGTTTTTCATCTTTTATTTATGGAAAATATATAATCTTTAGACACATTTATGAGGAAGTGTAGAATCGTATAAACCCAAGAATCACAACCAACTGTGAACGGTGTATTATACTCTCATAATTGTCAACCTTTCCAAAACATGTCTCAAGTCATACAACTTGAAGAACAAAATGGACAGTGGTAAGTTATTCTTAATAATTATGGTATATTCTTTTTTCAGTTTTTACATTTATGTACAAATTAGTTTAATACATAGTTTCCTGAGAAGGGAATGACAACATAACCCCAGATGATGATGATGCACAAACTAATAATTAAAGTACAAGTTGTTCACTTTACATTATAATATTATTAGCCCTTGAATCTTTGTTTCTCTGATAAAATGTTCATTCTAGAACTTGAGGGATGGTTACTTGAACAATCTTATACCAAATACTCTACTTGTGTAACTTGAAGCAGAACCAAATGTGTAAATAATTGCAAGTGATAAACGTTACCTCAGCAACCAACTGCACAAGGGAGCAATGAATGAAAGCTCTAAAATAAAAACCATAGATAAGTGAAACAAAAATGCAAAGAAATACAGGAAACCCTCAATAAAATGAACACCGTTTGTAATGGAAGTGTTGGTGGTGGTGATGAGAGTTGGTGGTGGTAGGAAGTGTTGATGGTGATTGTTAGTGGTGGTGAGTGTTAGTATTGGTGGGGAGTGTTGGTGATGGTGGAGTGTGTTGGTGATGGTGAAAAGTGACCCATGTGGTCACTTTGGAATAAGTTATTATATAATGGATCGACTCCGTTATTATTCTCAACCAAATATAACAGATTTTTGGCTTTAACAGACCAGCCGTTCTCTCGATTAATCTGTTATATCGGGAGTTTAATGTAAGTGAAAAAAAACCCATCTTGCATGAACTGAGTTCAACTAGTCCTAACTTACCAGCCATAAAACATGAACAAATACTATACAGTGGAAAACATGTACAAAAATTCTATCCAAATATTTCATCAAATTTACCAGCAGAGGCCCAGATGATGTTCCTCCTAACATCAGAGAACACTAAACCACTCACAACACTTCAGTCTCACCCTTTAAGTTACTCAGTTCTCAAATCTTAATTCATTGTAACTCCACTTTCTGCTCACATACAAAATGGCTAATGGTACAGCCTCCTACGTTTGTACCGGGTGTGTTGTGAGGTGTAGCAACGAGGTAGAGGCAGTGAAGAAATGGGAGGGAAGTGGTTAAGAATGAGGTGTTTATACCGAGTCACTCACTTTTATTTCTCTCCACCACTGGTTCAGGTTATGTCTGACAGTACATAATCTACTTCATCACTACTACTACAGGAAATACTTCTCATCTATGACCTGACTCAACCTTACAGTATATTGTTACCCATATTTCAGAGACAGTATAACACACCTGTATCTAGTATGTTAGATAGTAGGAAGCTACCAAACAGGGAGGTAATACCACCTGGCAAGATATTGAAAGCAAAATGTATTGGCTAATGGTAGACCCTGCTGCCATATGGCATCACAAAAATTGTGACCAAGTCCCAGGTTGCTGATCTGACTTTCTGCCTCATTTACACACAATTGCAGGGTCTCAATTGTTTCTCTTACTTTGACAACACAACATACTGTACATATATTGTTTCTCACTCTTAATCTTTTATGGTTCTTTATTATTATTATTATTATTATTATTATTATTATTGCAGTATTATTATTCTTATTATTATTGTTATCATTATTATTTTATTACTTATATGTTTGTATATTATTATAAATATAACGTATCTGAATTATTATTAAATTTTTGGCCCCCAGGCCACGATGTGGGTCAGTGACCTGTGCCCGGGTGGGCTAATCCCTGTTAAAAGAAATCTCATACCAGTTAGCAAGAAATGCACTCATCACTTTTCCTTATCTTCCTCACTGATCATTTTTGTGGTGAAGACCTGACTTGTGAGAACTTAAAGGAGGTACAAGATGGTTTTGACTAGAACAGACAAGTCACTCCATTACAGACATTTCTTCCATCCTATAATGCCACAATAGCATTATTCTCTCCCACAGAATGAGAGAAAGATAGAGCATTTGCAAGTTATCCATTTTTCCTCTTCCATAAACCCTTAGTTAAATAGATCTGAGGCATCTCGGTAATCCAATGGAATATTTAATCTTAAGCCAAACTGAGAAAACATCAAGATACAATCAAAAAGATTTATTTTTGAATCTGACATAAGGCAGAAGACATTTTCAGATGTACATTTTAATCCTATTTAAGAGTTTTTACTGTAAGCAAAGATACAAAGTTCCCAATTACTTTGTAAGTTATAAAGGCAAGTCAAGCAGTTTTGGAAAACAGACAAAGAGAACCATGAACTAGTTGCCAAGTTATTAAAATAATGACAGGTATTGATGAGAACTTCAAAAGGGCAGAAATCATTATTCTTGTCACAATGAGATCTGACTGACTGAGTGTGGGTGTGTAGTTGGCACCCTTACATTATTTCTCATCTTTTCTTCTACACCTAAATGTTTATATACATAAACATAAAAGATAATTTGTCTTTTAAACTTTATCTGCAACTTTCTCCCAAATCCTTCAGCCACCTATTGCCGTATGTAGTTAAAAGATATAAACTAGATTGAGCACTTACCTGATTATCTCAACTCCAACAATACATCTTGAGTGGCAACCATTCAGTTAATCTTAAAAGGCTTCACTTCCTGACCTACTTGCTGAAGTTTACAGCACCTATGATGAAGAGCTGGAGGTGTCATGTGCTTGGTGTTGTCTCTCAGTCCACAGGTCTGAGGGAGGCATTGGGGCATCTTCTTCATGGAGCATTGCCATCTTGCTGAAGTAGGTAGATGACTTCTTTTTTCTTGGAGAAGTCTGTCCAAAATAAACTCATTAAAGTCTAGTGTAAAAAACAGTATATACAACACAACTTTGGTAAACAAGGAGGCAGTGTGGCTGGTACTGTACTCCAGCTTATCTTCCCCAATAATAAAGTAAAGTAACCCTTTACAGCTGGCTTAGCTGGAGGGGAGCCAGCAACAAGTATTGTAACCACTCACCCACTGGTGAGATATTCAATAAATAAGAAAGCTATATCAAACATTTTTCATGATGCTGTCTTACCTGGAAGGAAGTTCTAGCCTGATCTTCTCCTGAGGAAGATGTGATGCCTTCCTCTAGGTGCAAGTCTGTGCTGGACCCTTCCAACTCGAGCTCATTGTAGAGTGAAGACAGTTGGTCATCTACCCAGGCAGGCTACCAAAAGATAAAACTTATTATATGTGTGAAAAATATAACTCGATTAGTCTTATACATTGTTACTAATGAATGAACTATATGTTAACCAAGCCAGAACCTTCAACACACAACTGTGTGTCATCCTGTATACAGAAATATTTATTCCCAATAAAACCTTCCTGGGAATATGATCTGCGATATGTGTTGCCTCAGACAATTATCAACACAAATATACACCATCCCAATCCCATCGATTCCCACTGGAAAATAAAATCCATTTGTATCTGACAAAAGGGTTCGCCATTTTACTCTTAAACAAATCTTTCCCTTCATATGTGTACTTCTCTATGGTTATTCCCCAAGACACCTTCACCAACAATTTCCTAGATTTTCAATAACTAAGTCCCTGACTCATCTTTCAATGGCATGAAACATAAAGATTCACAATATTTCTCACCTCTCAATGGTATAAGGGTCAATATATGTCACCTCTCCACAACACGAGACATAAGAATGCACAATATATCTCTCACCTGTCGTAATCTCTTGAGCATGTCCATATCTTGTCTGAGAACATCAACAAGTTCCTTGGTCTCCATCTGATACTTGTACAGGAGTTCTGGGGTAACCTTCACGTCCTCTAGCCAAGGTGGGTCATTTAGCACAGGACGCTGACACTTGGACCTAGGCGTGTTCCACTTCATCCCAGACGTGGTGGCCTGTGTATGGGATTAACAAGATGGTGTGAAATTCCCCCAAGAAATTTTTTTTTAATTTAAACTCTAATCCCTATAAATTATGAGCCACTTATTCACAAAGCTAATTCATTCATCTCCAATTTACCTTCTCCTTAAAATTATTATTAATTTCTAATTTAATTCACCTCTATGTATTATTTACAGGTACAGTATACTAATACTGTACTCTCTATATACATACATGTGGAGGAACACACATTGTTTATACTGCACTGAGACTGTTGTGTCAGCTAATTCTCACATCCCCTCTCCTCACCACCCATACACACCTGTACTATAAGAGTCTGTACCTAACTAATGCTAAAACCCTAAAAAGGAGACATTTTATAAAGTGTAAATTCTATGACGTAAATTAGGATGATACAGACACTCTCAGATAATAGTGTAAACATGGGGTGGTTCATGATTAGTTCCTGCTCTAAGTCTGCCTCACCAACCTGAGGGGTAGCAGTAAGCTCCTCAAGCCAATAGCATGCAATAGTCACTTCATTTCACAACTATATAGTTTTGACCAGACCAATATCAAACTGCTGTACTCAACCAACCTGGGTGTGAGTGTGTGTGTAGAACTGCAAGTGGAATGAAAGACAGTGTTTTATAAATGAAGGTAAAAGAGAGAGACAGACAGACAGACAGACAGACAGACACACACACACACACACACACCCAGACCTTAAATAACAAGAGGTAAAAGAAACCTCAAATATCTGATCATTACCTCACTGTTTTCTGAATTTTCAGATATATTTTGCATGCTATCATCAGTAGACTTGTATTCCCTTAGTGAAGACGGTGAGCTTGTTCCAGACAGCACCATATCACTGATAAGATAAAAACTGTATTAATTACAACACCACAAAACACATCACAATTCCGCTACAATATCAGTCAACTGTCCCATACATGAACCGGTGAATATGATACATGACACATCTCTGGGCCCATAGATGATGCACACTGTATCACGTTTGAGATTCACGGGTTCGTGAGTTTCAGGGTTCACGGCTAGGATGGAGGACTGATAGGACTTACATTTGAAAAAAGTTGGAGAAGAAAACTAAAATACATTCAACAATATTTTAAATTCATTTAACACAACAGAAAAGACTACAAGTACTGTATCTGTTCCATCAAGTTAAAATCTTCTATAGTGATTTAAATGACAATTACAGTACAGGCAAGAGTCAACCCATCATTTCTGAACAGCTTAATATAAAGAACAATAACAAGTAATATTCAATATAAATACACTTTAACATTACCCCACTGATCAGTAACACACATATACATTACCTCGAATTTTCGTGATGTTGTTCACGGTCATCAGCCGCCAGTCTGTCCTGCTTGCCCGGTGAACCTATGCTCTCGGCTTCTGCCCGGACACTAGTTGACTGGGAAAACTGCGATACCTGTGATGAGTCACGGTTCATCTCAGAATCCTGCGGGTTAGCAGAATCAACTTAAACTAGTAGTCCAGATGTTAAGTGAGTTGCCCACTTGAGTAGGACATCAATATTGAAGCACTGGGGAGTTACTGACAAAGCTCCCATGTTTTACTGAATACTAAAAGATTACTTAAACAAACTAATGTACACTTAACTGTCAAATAAATAAATAATAATAATGTACAATATTAATAAAATGATCACATTACACAAATTTTCTCAATCACATCCTGTTCACACACAAGTTCCTCTGAAGAAATTTTTTTTTCACAAACTACAAATTTTGCCACAATCCATTTCATAATTTCTCTCAGCTATTTATGTAATTAACACATAAATTCTTTAAACACGTGGGATAAAATTACACTTTTCCGTCTAAACTCCCATACAGGTGAAGCAAAAATCATTTACATCCACAAGAAATTCAAGAGTAAGTAAAGCAAGCATAAACTACCCCTGTGGAATCTACCCATGGGAGAGCTGTTCTTGAAAGGCTAAAAGGCAAAAGGTTGAAGTAATAATTGTGAACTGGGATGATGAGAGTGACAGATAGATATTGTGGACGTCTGGCAGAGCAAATATTAACCTAAGTATGTCACACAAGAACCACAAGCTCACTTTTATGACTGCTTCCACCATGACACTGAGTAAATCATCTCTCCTCTCCTTCAAGTAGATGAGCTACAAATGTATCAATCATTCGAGTCTCTCTCTATCTTTCCCAAACAAATGCCTCATAATAATCAATCACTCAAATCCATCTTTCCTTTATATGCTGTATATGTACAGTTGGTCCTCACATTAAGCGGTCCCGCATTCCGCGTTTCACCGTTAACGCGGTGCCTTGCCAGAACCTAACATTCTTACATTCCGCGGTCGCGAACGCCATTACGCGGAGAGCGGCTGGCAAGCCGCGCCATTTTTGGATCCAAACCTCCCGCCATCCGCCATGTTGTGTAAGAGGCGCGAAAATGGTGCGCACAAGGTCGCCCAGTCATCAAAACATTACCGAGTTCTTTACCCGCCACCCACCACAACCGGCCCAAGTCAGTGATAGTGATAATTATAGTGAGGATATGGACTTATATGGACTTTGAGGGGTTTAACAAAGAGGCCCTGCAAGCCTCTGTGGTGGATAGTGATACAATTGATACCAGTGATACAGGTGAGGCCCTCTGCCTCGGAACCAACCCCCCATCCCCGTGTGCCCAGCCATCTTTTCTACTAATGTAAGTGTTAAAAAACCTAATATTATTGATATTTCTCTTAATTATTAATTGTGTGTGCATGCCATCATAAAGTTAAGATAATATTTTTACTATAACATAGTTGTGTGTCGTCAAAAAGTGGAGTTTGGGGATCGGCCTGGACTCCATTTCAATTAATCCCATATGTTATGTTGTTCACTTTACGCGTTCCTCACTTTCCGCGGGACCCTCCGGGTTACATTAACCGCGTAATGTGAGGACCAACTGTACAACTTATGTACTTATACAACACTCAAAGCAAAACCTCTTACCTTTGGCACACATCCTGGTGACAGCATGGTCGTGTCTTCGACGTAGGAGCGTATACTTTCATCGATGTGCGAGTGTGAGCTGATGATCTTGCCTGAGGCGAGTGGTGCTGCCTCGCGCCGATCCTGGTTCTGCTTTAACTGACGTAGCCTGGGAGTCTGGTGAGCGCAGGTTAGTGGTGGAACGTTTGATGTTGCAGTTCTGTTGGTGACAAAATTATTAAGTGTTTAATTTTTAATCAGCAGTTAAGGGTCCCCCCCCCCTTTATATGTACAAAACTGAAATGCAAGGAATAAGAAAATTTCACTGATGATGATGACCAACAGCCAAGGTCTGCCACCAGTGGGTTAAGCATCACAACATGTAAATTACTCTTATGGCATTATAGTCAAAGTATCAAAATTATATATAGTAGATAAAATGAACCAAATAAGGCACCTGATTGTAATACATGACCCAGTATCAAAAGTGTCTCTACATCACTAAGTACAGTACACCGATGACTTACCCTCAGGGAGTGGGCGTTAGGATCTAGCAGTTCATGTTCACTGTCGGCTCTAGCTTCTCTCCATCAGAAACTAAAATTGGTATTTGGCCCAGAGGCGACTGAACTGCCGTGTGCTGGTAAACTACATTAAACATAAGTGGGGGAGCGTTGAAGAGTGGGGGTGCCACCGTCTGGTACATCACCCCAGGAATGGCACTCATGTACTGGAGAGGCACTGCTACGCCTGCTGGGAGTATAAATTAAAATATATAATGCAACGTTCTACAAAAGCGTCTCTTTCTTTTTTAAGGTCCTTTGAAGAACCTCACCTAACTTTATATACAAAGAGGGAAAAAGATGCATTAACTTCCCTTTAACGTAGGGCAGAACTAACACTTAAATAACCCTTCAAAGACAGACTGTACAACAACACTATAAACACGCAGCTGGTGGACCCTGAGTACTGTTAATACAGTGACCCCTCGTTTAACGAACGCCTCGGTTAACGAAATTTCGGTTAACGAACTGCCTTCCATAAGGATCTTCAATTCGGTTAACGAACAAAAATTCGGTTAACGAATTTCTTACGAACCGACCTCAACATGTTTTCGCTTGCACTGACCGGGCAACCAGCTTTAGTATCAGTCCGCCAATACATTAATCGGTTCTAGGCTTAAATTCCTTACTATTTTAGTAAATATCAAGAAGTTTATACTATTCAATAATTTTAAAAGTTTAATATTAACTTTTTAGTCATTTTAACAATTATTGAACATAATTGGTAAATGACTAGTTTAATGCGGCATCCAGCCTCTTAACACAGCAAACAGGCGTTAGTCTCTCTCTGTTTCACTGGAGGTAACATCTTGCTTGAGACTCTCTTCAACTAAATGCTTTTTCTGTGTTTCAAAATGGTCATTTTAAATATATTTTACATATTGACAATATATAATGCAGTGCAGTGTTGATTTAATGAAAATAATCTTGAATTACACCAAGAGAACTAAAATTTTATGGGTGAAATGGCACCATGGGTGACTTCTCTTCCACCCCAATGCCTTCTCTTCTTCCTTCTCCTTCACCCCCATTCTAAATCCATCATCATCATCATCATCCAGGAGCCTTCTACATACACACCTCAAAGTAAGTGAACTTTTCTACCATTTTTGTTGAATTTCGGAAATTTTCGGTGAGCTGGAACCAATTACCCAAAAACCCATTAAAACAATGGTTTCGGTTAACTAACTTTTCGGTTAACGAACGACCTTCTGGAACGGATTGAGTTCGTTAACCGAGGGGTCACTGTACATCCATTATTTAAGATACACTTAAAGTATTAATGTTTTGTGTATTATTAGTAAAGTTTCTCATGTTATATTCTCAAGCATCTCTGTCCTCTCCTTTACCCCTCCTCCTTTCTCTAAATTACAAAAAATCACGGTTAACGGCAATTAAATCCCCCAGTACTTACACAACTACTAGACAATTTCAAAACTAAAAAAAAAAAATGTTTCTGGAAGGAAGATCAAACTTAAAGAGAATAAAAATAAGAAATGCCAAGTTGGTCACCCACAAAACCTTAACATTATCATGTCATTTAACCCGGAGAGTTTTTGTGCAACTGTCCACTAATTATGATATCTTAGTAGTTTTTTTTTTGGGGGATCGGGCTAATATGATAATGTATTTGGCATCGAAATTGGCAGGTTAGGTTAGGTTGTTAAGATAGGTGGACATGTTTGTGAGAAAACCTGAAATAAAAGGGTCAAGATTGTGTATAACTCAGCACGAGTCATCCCCGCCCAGCCCCTGTATTATGTGCTGTACATAAATCACAATCACTCTACAGGAAATAATCATCTGGTGGCTTTAACCTTGGTTGAGTGCCTTACTCTTTACCATTGTCTGTATACCTACACTGTCTATGTACATTGGAATTTGCATATCAGCATGATCTAAATACTTGTGTTGTCTATATACAAACTGAACCTGTTGTAAACCTGCATGATTATTTTACTGAATAAATACCTATTATTATTACTGTATTATTATTATTATTATTATTATTATTATTATTATTATCATTATTATTATTATTATTATCACTGATCTTCCACATACAACCACGAGCTTCAAATATACTGTACTCAATAATGGAATAAAATACCAAAGTCTTTAACGCGAGTCGTACCATAGCAAAGTGTGCTTTCTGTTATATCTTCCCAACACAACAGCTGAAAACACACGAGATATAAAACACCGGAAGAATGATTCAAAAGTGAGTACAGTAGTGACCAAAATCAGGCCAAAGTTTGTAATACAGTACTGTACAGTGTGAGAACAACAGAGATAGAGTGTGTGAGAACAACAGAGATAGAGTGTGTGGGAACAACAGAGATAGAGTGTGTGGAACAACAGAGATAGAGTGTAGGAACAACAGAGATAGAGTGTGTGAGAACAACAGAGATAGAGTGTGTGGGAACAACAGAGATAGAGTGTGTGGGAACAACAGAGATAGAGTGTGTGGAGAACAACAGAGATGGTGTGTGAGAACAACAGAGATAGAGTGTGTGAGAACAACAGAGATAGAGTGTGTGTGAGAACAACAGAGATGGAGTGTGTGAGAACAACAAGGATAGGTGTGTGAGAACAACAGAGATGGAGTGGTGAGGAACAACAGAGATGAGTGTTGAGGAACAACAGAGATGGGGAGTGTGTGGGAACAACGGAGATGGGTGTGTGAGGAACAACAGAGATGGAGTGTGTGTGAGAACCAGAGATGGAGTGTGTGGGGAACAGCAGAGATGGGTGTGTGAGGAACAACAGGGATAGAGTGTGTGGGGAACAACAGGATGGGTGTGTGGGAACAACAGGATGGGGTGTGTGGGGAACAACAGAGATGGGGTGTGTGGGAACAAGCAGGATGAGGTGTGTGGGACAGCAGAGATGGGGTGTGTGAGACAACAGAATAGAGTGTGTGGGAACAACGAGATGGGGTGTGGGGAACAACAGGATAGGTGTGTGGGAACAACAGAGATAGGGTGTGTGGGAACAACAGGATGGGGTGTGTGGAACAACAGGATGGAGTGTGTGAGGAACAACAGAGGATAGAGTGTGTGAGGAACAACAGAGGATGGAGTGTGTGTGAGAACAACAGGATAGGTGTGGGAACAACAGGATGGGTGTGTGAGGAACAGGATGGGGTGTGTGTGAGAACAACAGGATAGGTGTGAGGAACAACAGAAGTTGGTGTGTGAGAACAACAGAGATGGGGTGTGTGGGAACAACAGAGATAGGTGTGTGTGAGACAGCAGAGATGGAGTGTGTGAGAACAACAGAGATGGGTGTGTGAGACAACAGGATGGGGTGTGTGGGAACAGCAGAGATGAGTGTGTGAGAACAACAGGATGGTGTGTGAGGAACAACAGGATGGGGTGTGTGGAACAGCAGGATGGGTGTGTGGGGAACAACAGAGATAGAGTGTGTGAGACAACAGAGATGGGAGTGTGTGGGGAACAACAGGATAGAGTGTGTGGGGAACAACAGAGATAAGTGTGTGGGGAACAAGCAGAGATGGAGTGTGTGGGGACAAGCAGGATAGGTGTGTGGGGAACAGCAGGATGGGTGTGTGGAGACAGCAGGATGGGTGTGTGAGGAACAGCAGGGATGGGTGTGTGGGAACAGCAGAGATGGAGTGTTGGTGAACAACAGAGATGGGTGTGTGGGGAACAACAGGATGGGTGTGTGGGAACAACAGGGATGGGGGTGTGTGGGGAACAACAGAGATAGGTGTGTGGGGAACAGCAGGATAGGTGTGTGTGGGGACAACAGGATGGGTGTGTGGGGAACAGCAGGATGGGGTGTGGGAACAACAGGGATGGGTGTGGGGAACAACAGAGATAGAGTGTGTGAGAACAACAGAGATGAGTGTGTGGGAACAACAGAGATGGGGTGTGTGAGAACAACAGAGATGGGTGTGTGGGGAACAGCAGGATGGGGTGTGTGAGGAACAGCAGAGATGGGGTGTGTGAGGAACAACAGGATGGAGGTGTGGGGAACAACAGAGGATGGGTGTGAGAACAGCAGGATGGGAGTGTGTGGGGACAACAGGATGGGTGTGTGAGGAACAACAGGATAGAGTGGGGGGACACAGGATGGGTGTGTGGGGACAGCAGGATAGTGTTGAGACAGCAGGATGGGTGTGTGGGAACAACAGGATGGGTGTGTGGGAACAGCAGGATGGGTGTGTGAGACAGCAGGGATGGGTGTGTGGGGAACAGCAGGATGGGTGTGTGGAACAGCAGGATGGGGTGTGTGGGAACAGCAGGATGGGTGTGTGGGAACAGGATGGGTGTGGGGACACAGGATGGGGTGTGGGGAACAGCAGGATGGGTGTGTGGGAACAGCAGGATGGGTGTGTGTGGGAACAGCAGGATGGGTGTGTGTGAGAACAACAGGGGATGGGTGTGTGGGGAACAGCAGGATGGAGTGTGTGGGAACAACAGGATAGAGTGTGTGTGAGAACAACAGGGGATGGAGTGTGTGGGGAACAACCAGGATGGGTGTGTGAGACAAGCAGGATGAGTGTGTGGGAACAGCAGGATGGGTGTGTGAAAGCAGATGTGTGTGTGTGTGTGTGTGTGTGTGTGTGTGTGTGTGTGTGTGTGTGTGTGTGTGTGTGTGTGTGTGTGAGAAGCAGCAGGAATACATAAACACAAATCAACTGTGAGTAGGAGAAAGGAAGCCACAGGAAAGGACAACTAACTTATTACTAGTCTTAGTTATTCATACATACAGTTCGTCCATGGATGTACAGGAACACCGCCCATTTGCATGTAGTTGACATGGATTTCTTGAGAATGGGCTGTGGGGTCAGGAGAGTTGACGTGATAATGAGGACACACAAAATGGGGTACGACTTAAGCAAAGTCTGGCTGACAGTGCAATCAATCTAATACAACGTGTGTGTGTGTGTGGTCATGTAAAGACAACAGATACACTGGGAAAGACTAAGACAATGCGTGTGAGTGAGGAAAGTGGTTCAGGACAATTGAGCATCAACAGTAAGCAGCAGTGAGTGTGTGAGGGTAAGACCTTCAGTACAAAAGTAAAATATAAGCTAGACAAACATATGTGTGTGTGTGGCGCTGGTGTATAAACCAACCCTTCTCTCTTTCTATTTATTAAATCACTCAACAAACAACCACCAATCAACTACAGTAAACAAAGTCTCTTTTCATTTTGTTATTATTTATCTATAACTGTCCCCCCACACAACACAGACTCCTCACTCTACTCATCAACCCTTCCTTTAGCCTTCCTCCACACATCACTCACAACATACCTCTGCCAACACTTTTAACCTTTTACTAGTGGCAAATGATACCCGGCTCCAAGAATACAAGGCATGTGAAAATTCCACTGATGATGGCCACCGTCCCTACAACTGACATCCACTGATGATGGCCACAGACCCTACAACTGACATCCACTGATGATGGCCACAGACCCTACAGCTAACATCCACTGATGATGGCCACCGACCCTACAACTGACATCCACTGATGATGGCCACCGACCCTACAACTGACATCCACTGATGATGGCCACCGTCCCTACAGCTAACATCCACTGATGATGGCCACCGTCCCTACAACTGACATCCACTGATGATGGCCATAAGCCACCACAGCGAGCATCCGCAGTGATGGCCTGAACCTACAACAGCATCCACACAGTGATGGCCACAGACCCTACAACTTCAGCATCCACTGATGATGACCTGAACCCTACAACTGACATCCACTGATGATGGCCCACCGAACCTACAGCTGACATCCACTGATGATATTACAGACCACAACCTAACATCCACTGATGATGGCCCACACCGTCCCTAAGCTAACATCCACTGATGATGACGCAGACCCTACAACTGTCATCCACTGATGATGGCCACCGTCCCTACAGTTAACTTCCACTGATGATGGCCACCGTCCCTACAGTTAACTTCCACTGATGATGGCCACAGACCCTACAACTGACATCCACTGATGATGGCCACCATCCCTACAGCTAACATCCACTGATGATGGCCACCGTTCCTACAGCTAACATCCACTGATGATGGCCACCGTCCCGACAGCTAACATCCACTGATGATGGCCACCGTCCCTACAGCTAACATCCACTGATGATGGCCACCGTTCCTACAGCTAACATCCACTGATGATGGCCACCGTCCCGACAGCTAACATCCACTGATGATGGCCACCGTCCCTACAGCTAACATCCACTGATGATGGCCACCATTTAAGGGATAATCACCTTGCCTTAGTCATTCTCCCATCAGGCCTAAACTACCTCACTATGGTCAACCTCTTCCATCATACCATCTCACCTTCCTCCTATATGCACTACAGAAAGTCCCCTTAACATCAAGTAGACACCATTTACAATCCTTACAGACTCAAAAGTTCATCAGATACACATATACATTTCATACAACATATATTACCTCAAATGTCACCCAAGATTACTCATTAAATACAGTTCCACCAAGCTCATTTAAAAATCTCTCTTACTTGTTGCAATTCATAATCGTAAAACTAAAAGCTTTACACAATTAGCAATATAGTATAGATGCAGTAATCAGTAATAATAAGCCTGTGAATAATTCCATGGTGAGGGAGAAAGCCTGCCACCTAACTCTAATAATAATCTATCATTAAATACACACACTACAACTCTCTCTCATCTAATGTGGATTAAACCAACAAAACTGAGCATCACCAACAAGAGCAACAACCTGTGATGGGATTTTCAGACAGTTTTGTAATGTGATGATCTAATGACAATATTAATTCACTCATATCACCAACAGGAATCAGCTTCTCACCTTATTATGACAATGTAAAAGAACTAAGTGATTGTGCTACACTGCACTGTCTTACCTTTGAGAAAAATACTAATTGTGCCATCATGAACAACATTAATACTTGTGTTACTGTACACACACACACACAAACACACACACACACACACACACACACACACTACATCACTTAAACACAAATTTAAGTGTGAGTATTTACATATTGGTTTGTATGATAGTCTAATGTAAGGGACGGAGTTGATCACAGAATATATCTTTAATTACCTTTATAAAATCATTAACTTTATCAAAATACATTAACTACCCTTATAAAAACCATTCCTAACATAATTCCTCCCCGGCTGAACCTTGGCACCAGCTACACCTTTCCTTCACTGTACGTCTTAACAATCAACAAACCTAATTGAGACAAACTTTAACACACTATGGAAACACTTCTCACAGCATCAACTGTGAACTATCGTGACACAACAGTACAGGTCGCCATCCTTGTGAATTTCCACACCTGTAGTTTCTATCTTAACAACCAACCCCCCAGTGTCAAACAACTGTTCTTAATGATGGAGACAAACTTTCTACCCGACTAAACTTGGCAATTTTTAATGAAGATTTAATTTCTACTTTAACTAAACCTCTAATATTACAGTGAACTTCCATACAACGAACTTCTCTTTCCATATAATCCATTGGGGGGGGGGGGCACAGCTAATGGTCACTCGATATAACGAAGTTTCATCTCTTTATAGCTCATTAGATGGAGGTTTCATATCTAATGGACCTTCGATATAATAGACTTTCCTCTCCATATAGTCAGTTAAATAGAGGCTTAACTGTACAACTGTTAGTGAAGCAGAGATGGGTTCTATGACAACTACTCAGTACAGTCACTAGAGTACGCTACGCACCTTGAGGTTGAATAAAGGCCGGTTGTTGCGGAGGCATGACGAGCGTTGGTCCGGGCGCCCGATTCACGTTAATGGAGTCGACTCGAGGTAAGGGAGACATGCTGGGGGTGCTGGTGGGGAAGTAAAACCCTGGCACGATGCCCGAGTAGGATGGCGTGGCTAAGTTACCACCGGCACTCGGCCCAACACGCGCTCCACCACATCTGTTGGGGATAAAGACAATCATATTATTTCCTCCCCACAAACTGTTATAGTTTATCATCCAAAAGTAATATCAAGACTCTAACATCACTAACACCTGGTAGTTAAGAAATTTTGTTAAGAGATGCATTTTTTAACATGTCAGGGAATCAGCCAATGAGAATGAACCGACAACTTCAACGGAGCGGAGACAGTAAACAAAACACAAAACGTGACTTAGAAACTTTACGCAACAATCTGACTCACCCTGAGGAGGGAATGTGAGGTTTGTTCTCCACCTGCATCCACACATCCGCCGAGGGAGGCTTGAGGGTAGAACCAGAATCGGCCGCAGAAGGTGCAAGGAACGGTTGCTTGTGTACCATCAGTGTTAACATTTAATTTTTTTTATCTTTAATTGTAGAAATTAATTTTATATAAATTAAAGTTTATTGTATGTAAACATGAATGAAGTAATATTATTTCAAGACTTTTCAATCTTAAGAAGAAAATCTTTCCATGTAGGAACAACAAACATCCCAGTGTCCTCCCTCTCCCAACACACTGATCCGGTTAAACTCAGTTAGTTCAAACAGTCTAGCATCACTCCACAGCACCAGGTCCCTCTCTCCCCTAACATCACCACCAGGCAACTTGTTATCTGGTTACACACACACACACACACATATCACTACTTCCTAATCAAGTTAAATATAAGAGAGAAACATGAGTCACCTACCCGTTCAAAAGGCTTCTTCATCTGTTTCATCTTTGTTTTCATTTTACACTTGTCCTTGTAAGTCTTGCCTCCGGTCTTCTGCCGTTGCATGAAGATCTTCTGCATGTCAGCGTTGTGCTTTGACAGTACTTCCTCCGTTAGTTGGATGTGGCAGTAGGAACGTCCGGCGCTCGATGTCCTGCCCGTTTCCCCGCTGCCGCTCCCGTTTCCTGTGCTTTCTGACTTTCTGATATTCACGAGAGGCAAATGAAGTTGTCTTAGGATTAATCCACAGTAAAAAGACCACACAAACCTCACATATCAACTACTGTATACATCTATAGTCACCCACAGTAATAATTAGACATTATCACAAAGCTAAAAATTTCACAGCTGAGTAACTTTTCTGTTCTCAGTCATCCACACGAGTCACAACACGGGAGGAATCATTGATAAACGCTATTAAAGGGAATCACTCAAGTCAAAGCTACACGAGTGGTTGACGAGTTGACTTCCAATGAGGTAATTCGTCACAACCACTTGGCACTGTTAAATTATTCCTCTCTCTCTCTCTCTCTCTCTCTCTCTCTCTCTCTCTCTCCCTGATAATTATACCTGCCACCCTCATGCCTACAATAATTATATGTCATAAGGTAGATCATAAAGGTGAAAGATAATTAGGTAACAATAAATATCGTTGGGTCTGTTGTGTCATATAAGAATGAATCAGTCAAGGAGAGACCACCTCATTGGTGAACCGGGGACAACAGGGTGGCATACAGTACTTCGTTTAGCTCGTACATTCAGACATTCCAATGTATGTATGTGTATATATATATATATATATATATATATATATATATATATATATATATATATATATATATATATATATATATATATATATATATATATATATATATATATATATATATATATATATATATATATATATATATATTATATATATATATATATATATATATATATATATATATATATATATATATATATATATATATATATATATATATATATATATATATATATATATATATATATATATATATATATATATATATATATATATATATATATATATATATATATATATATATATATATATATATATATATATATGCTATTTCCACAAGGAAAGAAAGAAAACACGAAGTTCCCCAAGCGCTTTTACGTGTGTTCACATCTTCAGGGATGAGTGCAGACTGGTCTGTCTCACCCTGAAGATGTAATTATTTCTTCTTTCCTACAGTGATTTACTTACGCCCTTACAGTATATATATATATATATATATATATATATATATATATATATATATATATATATATATATATATATATATATATATATATATATATATATATATATATATATATATATATATATATATATATATATATATATATATAATAATAATAATAAATGAGTATCATTCGTCTTTACCTGGTGTGGTCACAGTTATCGCCAGAACCCGACCCAGACTGGGACTGTGAGAGAGTCTGTGAGTGTGATAGCGTCTGCGACTGCTTGTGATTCCCTGAACCACCACACAAAGAAAAGGCTGGATGGGTGCTACTCTTGCCATCTTCAGAAAAAGATAAATTAACACTGCCCTTGAAGGCAAAACCCAAAATAGACATATAGGGAAAAAGAAAAAATGCAAGACCACAATGGGAATCCTTGGCCAATGGTTTGACTTCATATTTATATCATTACTGAGCAAGTTGTGTGCATGAAATACAAGACATTCTTCAAAATATAGAACAGTTTATATCCAGGTATTGTACTGTACTGTACAGTACATTCACAACAATGTCAAGAATGTCAGAGAAAAAAGATACATCCAGTGGAAGAAATGAGCATCAGTTGTGACCGCCACCACTGACGTCTCCCTCACTAACAATATCTTAATAATAGACTCCAGTGTGTGTACTGTATAGTGAAGTCCTCTATTACTACTCCAGTGTGTGTACTGTATAGTGAAGTCCTCTATTACTACCCCAGTGTGTGTACTGTATAGTGAAGTCCTCTATTAATACTCCAGTGTGTGTACTGTATAGTGAAGTCCTCTATTAATACTCCAGTGTGTGTACTGTATAGTGAAGTCCTCTATTAATACTCCAGTGTGTGTACTGTATAGTGAAGTCCTCTATCTGTAGTAACTAAAATCTGGGTTCCCATTGATAATTTGGCCTATTGGCTCCAGTGTTGGACTTTGTGCCTAAATTCCATAAATCAATCAATCAAACCAATGATAATTCAAACTACATTTTTCTCTCCACATTAATCCCTACAGTAAGTATTTGTACTTTTCTAAATACATTATATTATTCCCTCTATTAAGTCTGTACAATCATGAACAAAATTCCTTTACATTCTTGTTTGAAACTATTAACATCTCACAGAGTTATTATACCAAAGTGTTGTAGCCAGTCACTCAATGACTGGTCCAGGAGGTAATATCAATACCAGCAATGTGTAAAGGATGTAGAAAGACTTGTTCATGGCTGTAAAACATATATTAATAACTGTTGCGGCATTTCTTTCATAGTAATCACTTTTCTCCAAGATAGACCTCAGTACATAATGCCTGCCATGTCCTTACCTAAGCTTCCCGAGTGAGACACCTCCATCTTGCTGTCACCGCTCTCGTCAGAAGAAGCTGTCTTTGGGTGACTTCTGAAGAATCTAAAAATAAAGGAGAAATTTGGGCCATTACATAACTGTATATATTAACCTGGTATTTTAACTTTATCTCATGCAGTATTACAGATCCTGCCCCACACATTACAAATGACATCTCCCTCCCTCACCTCTCAGCCTCACTCACTCACAGCTCTCACCCTAACTATACATTTAACATCACTCTATCCATCATATTTCCAGGCTGCAATACTTTATCAAATATTATTTTTAAATCACAAAATAGTATTGAAACATTTCCCTCAAGGTTAGTTGGACTCGAGAGCACCCACAGACACACAAACAGGCATTAGTCCTTTCTAGTTAGTTCCTCAGTACACTACAGGGGGACAAGTGTGTTCCCTTAGCCCAAATGTTTACATACTATTACTTAACATTTTAAAGTAAGTACTGTACTGTGTGTTGTTGACTGTACTGTACTTGTCAGTTCAGCTACGAGACTATATATCAGGATCAAGTTTCTAAGACACCCATGAAATGTATACATACATACATACATACATACTTACATACATACACAATATATACATACATACACAATATATACACTACCCAATTAATAATACACAGCATCCATAAACTACCGGACACATTTTAAAACTAATAACCCCAGCAGAAGCATTACAGACAGAACACAGTGCTGTGTTTAAGTTACTAAGATAAGAAGTACAACTTATAAACCATCATGTTGCATCTATAATGTTTCTGATGTTAAGTTTTAAAATGGATCAGATAAGTTATGGTCATCTATTTACCCATAGAGAGAGGACAGGAAATGTTCTAATACACAATATATATGAAATACTATAACTACAAACCTTTTTTTTAATAAGACAAGTCTCCACATTGTAAATAATAAGATAAAAACTAAATATCTAACATGAATCTGGAAATGACATGATCTGATGACCTTCCTCACTTCTGTAACTAAAAATATTACCTCAATGGCTCTCTGCAACACACCATGTCATACCCCTTACTGTACACCTCTGTCACCTGTGTGTGTGTGTGTGTGTGTGTGTGTGTGTGTGTGTGTGTGTGTGTGTGTGGTCACAAGACATTGTGATAAGGTTGTATTCTGCTGTGTATTGCTACTTGTAATTCCTGTATATCCTAACCCTACCTGAAGCTTCTCTTAACACTCATACAGACAAGAAAAACAGATGATAAAGGAAAAAAATTTAAAAAGTAATAATAACTTCAAGAGGAAAATGAGGAAAAGCAAAATGGTGTAGAATATTACTCATATTTGTCCTCCTCTGACACACACATACACTAACTACTGTACCATGTATCTCCCCTCCCCCCAACTTACTAAGGAAGTGCAGTTAACTACACAACGTAATAGTCTCTCATGCCTTATCAACGGACAGTGAGCCAGCTAGCTACACACGTTGGGTATGTCATCCATGAGCCAGCGTCAAGACTGTGATGAATCTTACCTATGTATGGTCTCTGAGTAGTTGAGTTGGCCATAACTGGAAGGGGACTCAGATGAAGAATTGACACTCTCCTGACCTTTCTGGACCTAAAAGAGTTGGGGTCACTATCAGCCTAAAACACCACACTCGAAATTCGTTGACAGACATCACAGCGGCGACAGGAAGGACTTGCACGTCGATGTCCCAAATTGCCATGACCCTCAATCCACGTACTTGACTTGAAAGCAATTACTTTTTAAGAGAGTTAAACGGCTTTTAAATAATTTCATACAGTTTGAACTCCATAAGGCAAGTGTTGGCATATTGTAAACATGGAAGAGTAAGTCCTTCGCTGCACCATCATATTTTGACAGTACCTCTGGAGAGTTTCAGTGTAGTTGAGCTTGCTGTAGCTGGATGGGGTGGAAGTTGAGGGGTTGGATTCATAACAACGGTCGTCTTGGTGAGGGGAGATCTCCCCCATAACGACTGAGCCTTGGTCCTGATTGGTGGGAAACTGTGACCAAGTCAGACATTTCTACAACATCCCATGACATGAGACCACCAGGTTGCCAGCCTCCACCACTTCTCACATTATTAACATCTGAGTTAAGCAAGTCCAAAATGCTAAACCATTGAAATTAAACCAAAAAGGATACTGTAAGACCAAATCTCTCTTTTCTAGGACACAAATTCTGTGGTTCCATTGTTAATGTGTCCCAGACTCCAACGACAGTCAGCAATTTAAGATATTTGATGCAGGTGTAGACGGACACATGTGTGACCCTAATATTCACTCTCAAGTACAACTGTTTATGGTCAACTTCAACAAATTCCAACACATTAACATTAAAATACTTATAGATAATATAACACAGGCCATGAAACAATTAAGAAATGAATATTATATCAATGGAAAATAAATGCACATGACAATATACGTAGTGTACTGCACTGTATAGAGCCAAGAGTTGTCCAAACTACTGAACACAAGATGAATCAAATGTGTTAAACTGTGACTTGTTATTGTTTATCATGATGAGGAGCAACAAGCAACAAAATTTAACTTATATTGTCCTGAAAATAATAATAATACATCTACCACCTCACTCAACTTTTGTACTGCATACATAAAAAAAAAATTCACTCTTCACAATACCATTTTTCATTCAATCTCAAACTATTCCTCTCTCTCTCTCTCTCTCACACACACAGTCACATTATATGTCCAACAATGTCCACCTTACAGCCTCACTAAAAGGACCAGATGCACTTCAGTTCCTCACACTGCATTACCTCATTATATTTCATTCGCTCTTCTCTTGGGTTATTCGTTCACATTCATGTAAACCTTCCCTTCCACATGTTCCTTATACAATTCAAGAACCAGATTTTCTTCACCTTGTCACATGTGGATCGATATAGCTGCCTCTCGAATTACGTGAAATGAATCAAAGCGTAATGTTAGATTCGCGTGTTTTCTAATTATTCGGACGGCCGTATCAATGACGCGACTACCGTATAAATCTAGAGGTAGCTGTTGTACCATCACACCCACTGTACCACACATCCCACACAAAGACACATTCAAGAACCAAAATACAGTTCCAACATACAGTCGGTAATCTGCTTTAGTTTCAATTTTTTTTCTGTAATTCTCAAGTACCAAATTTGTAAAACATCCTTAAGCCCTTGAGAACAATGAGTTAACCCTCTAAGGACAATGATTTAACCCTTTGAGAATGATGTACTTACCCTTTGAGGACGATGATTAAATTAACATTCATCCTCAAAGGGTTAAACAAACTTCTCATCTTTCATTTCTTTTATTCAACACATTTCTCCTGTTCCTTATGTTTTCTGTCATTTATAATACCCAATATTTCATTTACATTTCTCAGTTCAGTATTTCTCAGTCATATATCATTGTTAATAGTCATCCATTAATATATATATATATATATATATATATATATATATATATATATATATATATATATATATATATATATATATATATATATATATATATATATATAAATCACTATGGTCATACGTGGTCTAGGTATAATACTTGATAACCTAGGAAGAAAGAAAACTGAGAGAACTTAACATTTTCTGCATTCTATATATATATATATATATATATATATATATATATATATATATATATATATATATATATATATATATATATATATATATATATATACAATATATATATATATATATATTTATATATACAATATATATATTTATATATACAATATATATATATATATATATATATATATATATATATATATATATATATATATATATATATATATATATATATATATATATATATATATATATATATATATATATATATATATATATATCAGTATCATTTGGCCACATGGACTTGATAGAGTGCAAGAAACTCATCAAGACAAGAGCCATTAAAGGAATAATAACCAGACAAGTTCATAATAGACAATAAAATGGCAAACAACACTTAAAATCTTAACCTGAGACAAACAGGATTTTTTCATTCCCCTTTTTCCCACATGCTGAAGACACACACACATGTACACAAATCCAAGGCTTTCAAAAAATACAACAGGACCTTGAATATTTTACTGGATTTAAACTTCCACAAGAAAAAAGTTAAAACATACAATAATGGCTTCCTCGGGTGTGACATTTTGAAAGCCTCATAAATGCACAATGTATCCAGGATGGAGAATGAACATGGGACAGTATATATACTTCTTAAATGTTCCCTTTCTTCTCCATGCTGTCTAGTTCGTCCACGATGGAACTCATCATGTGAGCCAGCGTCCTCCTCCTCATCTCCTGCGGCTCTTTGCTTGGGTCTTTGTACGTAGCAACTGGCTGTGAGGAGGAAGACAACAACATCATGATGGATATACTACAGTAGATTTTCACTCTATCAAGTCTTCTACAACTTTGACACAATGGCTAATAATTTCAAGAAGACCAACATACACTCCCTCATTCACAGATAAAGTCAACGACACAAAATTCTAACTAAATAATAAAACATAACCTATGGAAACTGAGATATTAACTACCAAGCCATTCCCTACCCCAAGATGAACGGTCTCTTACTGATCTAAGCCAGGAACCAAAACCTGCATAGCATGACCATTAAATCAAACACTGTCCTTTTACCATAATAATTCAGGCTTGTGATAAAAAGGTGAAATAATTGTAGTTTCTTTGTGATTGATGATAAAGACATGGTTAAATCGATGCATTTTTTGTAGTTAAGGTTTAAATTAATTTCAATTCCTGAGACTCACCTTTGCCAACAACTCCAGTATGTCATTTTGTGCTTTCTTTGCCTCCTTCATGACTTCTTCGGGTAGAGGAGACTGTATCTTATCTCCAGGGTCTAAGAATATTGCGATGTCACTGGGACCCTGTGGAGAAAACATGTATTTTTATTAAATTGATGTTTATGATAAGTTTTTATTTAACATTGACCTGATTTTTATCTTATTAACTTTCTACTCACAGCAGGTTTGTTATATTAGTGACAAACTTGTATTTTCCTTCTAGTTTATATGTTAAAAGATCACTCCAGGAGTTCAGAAGGTGTATGGTACTTGTTCTTGGAGCCAGTGTGTGTGAGTGTGTATGTGTGTGTGTGTACATGTGTGCAAGTGTGTGTGTGTGTGTGTGTGTGTGTGTAAAGGATCTGCATGTAGTATGTTTGTGAAAAAAGGTGTGTATGTGTGAGACTAAAATGTGTACAGTAGTGGGTCTTTGGTCGACCGTCCCTACAGCTAACTTCCACTCACTGCTTAAGGAGGTAACAGCAACCATGAGAGAGATGTTTTAAGACTCCCACTCATACGGTACGGTACTTACCTTGAGTACTCTGTGTTGGCCGATGATGGAGTCTATTCTCTTGGTCCAGGGGTTAACAAAACAAAGCCATTCGGTCTGTAAAGTGACGTAACTGCCGTTGAAGGTGCGGAACCTGTAGGGTTTACTTCTGTGGGGCTTCCCTTGTTCTCTCACCACTAAAGCAAGGAGATAAATGTTTGAAAAGTAACACAATATAACATTAAACATTCTCTTTCGTCCTTCACCTCAACAACTAACATTCTAACCCATTTTATCATTAATTCACATCTTGTATTATGGTATATGGTCTCACTAGGTGTAAGTGGTCAATTTATGTGTTCCCTGATAGAAAACTGATCTCGTCTAATTAAAGTATTTCTTATACAGTGATCCCTCGGTTAGCGAACGCCTCGGTTAACGAAATTTCGGCTAACGAATTACCTTCCATAAGTATCTTCAATTCGGTTAACGAATTTTTTACGAAATCATGTCAACATGTTTTCGCTTGCTCACCAGCTGGCATATTAGTCCGCCAATACAGTAATCGGTTCTAGGGCTTAAATTCGTTCCCATTTGAGTAAATATCAAGAAGGTTGTACTATTCAATAATTTTCCAAGTTTTATATTAATTTTTTTAGTAATTTTAACACTTATTTAACATAATTGCAGTACAGGAAACTAGTTTTGGTGCGCCCAACAGCCACTTGACTCACCCAGCAAGGCGTCAGTTTGTATCTCTGGTCAGTGGGGGTAACATCTTGCTTGTGGCTCTCTTGAACATAAACTATTTTTACGTTTTTACAGTACAATTATTGGTCATTCTGAAATTTATTTTACATATTGACAATATATAGTGCAGTGCAGTGTTGATTTAAAGAAAGTAATCTTGAATTACGCCTAATGAACTTAAAATTTTATGGGTGAAATGACGGCATGAAGCATGGGGTGATTTCTCTTCCACCCCCACTTCCTTCTCTTCTCCCTTCTCCTCCACCCCCACTTCTAATTCCCATCATCACCATCAACCAGGAGCCTTCTACATACACACCTCAAAGTAAGTGTACTTTACTGCATTTATTTTTACTTTGTATGTAATTTTCGGTGAGCTGGAACCAATTACCCAAAATCCCATTGAAACAATGGTTTCAGTTAACGAACGACCTTCTGGAACAATTGTGTTCGTTAACCGAGGGACCACTGTATCTAAAACAAAGATACACGGAAGGAAGTAAACTACAGTACAGGTATATTAAAACACACACACACACACACACACACACGATACTCACTTCCTTCATAAACAGCCTTGAGCAGTGGCAGGTCCTCAGGATGATAACAGTCAAAGACAGAGTTGCCAGTGAGGTCCTGTGGCAGATGACCCAGGTAGGGGATGGCTTCTGGGTCGTACTCGGAGAAGTTGCACGATGCAGAGTGTCTTATGCTAAAGCTGCCCATGGCTGGTGTCTCTTCAGGTACTACACAAGAGGAAAAATAATATCCACATTAATTTTAATCCCTATAAGTTTCATAACAGAGTAGAGTAGAGTACAGTATATAAAAGCCAAACAGATACAGTACATGGTACAGTATATACAGTGAGATTATGACATGACACAAAACACTCCCGAGCTGCCACTAACCTGCGTAAATGCTTTCTATAGGGATGACTTCTGCCAGCAGAAGAGAGGAGTTGGGTCCGTAGGTGGATGCCGTCTCGTCCGAACACGAAGCGTCGTGGAATTTTAAGACCATCTTGCAGGGCTTATAATGGGTGCGTTTGTTGCGTACTCCAAAGCCGGAAGTGTTGAGGCCATGGTACACCCTCATACGGCAGAAGAACGACGTCCCGTAGTTATCTGCGGGAGGGCATTGGCTTCCAATAATTTCTACACAAAAATAAAAAACATGAGAATTGTTCACTTACTTCTCATAATTATTTCACAAACCGACAACAAAACACACACATTTGTCTTACCATTGAGCGACTCCGTTCTGAACGGCATATTCAATCCGTGGATGATTTTGGACGACAAGTTGATAGAATCCTTCGGGTAGACAAAGTCGATGAAGGACTGTCCGATGAGCATGTCCTTAGGGAAGCCTAGGACGTCAGTGATGGCTGGGGAGACCTGGAGCACTGTACCGTCCTGAACGCTGATGGCAACCGTGAAGCCGCGCTGTAACAACCAAGGTAACGGCTGATCACCCGACCAAACCAAACACTACATTCCCTACCTTCCATATATACAACACTCAAACTCATGGCATGTTTTACCTTCCAATTACACTCAAGCTCTTCAATAACCATATCAGTATCAGCCCAAATTTCGTCAAAAGGATCACTTGTAGTGCATACTCGTGTTAAATGGGGGCCGAGGGTGGGGGGGCGTTACCTGTATTTATATAAGGGACTCATGTACTTACAGCGCTCTTGAAACTCTTGAGAAAGGCGGCCGCATCGTGAGTGTCCCGCGGTAACTGTATCAGCTCTCGACTGGCGAATGGGACACCTGGGGTAAAAAATGGATAAAGAAAAATGTTGAGGCAAAATATCCATCAATCATACAATTTTATCATCATCAAAGAACAACTTATACAGCACTTAACTAACATAAAACAATATAAAAAAATTCTTAAAATTTAACACACTGTAAACCAAAAATACCAAAAGTAAAATTAAAAACTGTTCCAACAACGTAATTCCAAAACTCATTACAATAATCCCAGGTTACCTTGTTCAGCGGATCGTTCCTTGATCTTCCTGATGTAGTTAAGAGCTTGAGTATACACAAGGGTGGGCTGGTCATTGCGGTCGTCGCCATTGAACGTTGACGCGCTCTCCTCAACACCCGTTGCAATACCTGGAGGAGTTAAGTCTTGTTAAACTTTTATGATCACAGTTTGGTTCCTGTACAGTAGGGGGCAGGGAAAAAACACTTTTATTTGAGTTGCAGGCTGCACTTTTCAGGCATCGTTTGTATGGCTGTAACAAACACCTGTGCAAAATTTCATGCCATTTCATGCATACTTACCCTGCCGCATCGCGAACGACTTTTTGTCAACTTTTAGTGTATACCAAAAATTAGGTGTCATTTAATGTTTTCCAGGATAATGATAAATTTTACATGGGTGACATCGATTTAATTCACATGTTATTTTACAGGTACACCGTATAGAAAATCATTACAAGTTCATATTGAAATTCTTTTTTGTGCGGAACCTTGGCATCATTTTCCTAGACAATAATCTTTGCCTAATATATCCATCTCTCGATTCGTATCCCGTCACTTCAGTGCAAGCTTCAGTCATCACTTTTATGCCTCTCTCGACCGCCTGAGTGCTGTTTGGCCACTTGGGCACCACTAATGGTGTCTCAAGAATGTCATTAACCTGTAGATTTGACAGAGAAGCAATGTAAGGAGGCTCAGTCTTGAGTTCATTCCTCCAGTTAATCATGGAATGATAGTTTTTTGCTTGCCACTTTAGTTTCGGAGTCACCACCTTTCTCATGTTGACTACAGGAGGCACATCCTCATTCCCATCTCCATCTTTACCCTCCTCATCAGTATAGTTTAACAAATTCTCGTCAACAGCAGCATCAGAATCTTCCTCCTCCTCTTCAGATCTGCCAGTGCATTCTTCCTTTTGCTGATTCTCCTCTCTAATTTTTCTTATCATTGAGACAGCTTTTTCTCTAACAGTCATGTCCTCATCTGCACACATACCAAGAAGAAGTTGATCTGTGTGGGCGAAGTATGCATTTCTCTGGACAGCCTTCTTCACTATCGTCTCCTCCTCACTATTCAGGTGTTTCATATATAGCAGGGACTGGAATACGTTCCTTGAGCCGTGTGTTACGTAAGGGTGTATCTTGATGTAAAACCACATTGGAGCACTGAACTTTATTATTGTAATGACAATTCTTTTCAACTCATGGCTGGGTCTTGATGTTGCTACATACAGCCTGAGGATTCTACTCCATAAGGTGTTCCACCTTGACACACAGGGAGGACCTGGCTCAATAGCAGCCAAGTCATCTTCAACAACACCTGTGATAACTCCTTTACAAATCCTATACAGGTATTTCTGATCCCAGGACAGATCTTTCTCCACTTCATCATTAAACACAGGGAAATCAGGGAAACTGACTGGCTGGAAGGCGACAACTGGAAGCTCAGACAAAGACTCCTTGATCTGCTTTCCAATGGGACCACGCCAATGCTCAGGACCACTTGGTTTACCATCATAGTGATAAAAAACTGCGCGGAAAGGCAGCTCATTTCCGTGAAGCTGACATATGAAATAATGGAGCGGGTGACCAAGTAACATTTCAAGATGATGAATGACTCCATTTTCTGATCCTACATTTACATTGGTTCCATCACAACCAACACACACAATGGGCTGCTGGGTTAGATTTTTCTCCACCAGAAACTCGTGAATAGTTTTGGCAATCTGCTTTCCGTGTCCAGTCTTGGGAGTCACATGTGTGAGATATTCATTGCCAGGCTCAACCATGATGACATAATGATCTTTCACCATCATCCTCGAACTCCATTTCTCGGTCTTCTCATTCTTTATCATCACACGAGTGGCGGTCTTCTTACCATCAAAATAGAGTGACGTCAAATTATCTAAACTAGCCATCTCAATTTCTTGCCTCTTAAATCGGTATTTTTGTCTCGCATCCCGCAGCTTATGTGGTCCAATAACCTGACTCTTGTCATCCTTTGTGATAATGCCATAGTCAGTTAAGGTGGCAGTAGCAATGGCAGCTCCAGCATAATCACTAATCAAGTTGATAAACACTGAACAGAACATTGCACCGCCACAGCGGCTGTTTGGCTAGTACTGTAGGTAAATTTAAAAATTTCAGTAGAAAATGCGGCAGACTAAACCTCAACATATCAGCTTCAAATTTGGCATGGAGTCTTAGATATGTATAAGGAACAATGCCTGAAGAGTGCAGCTTTGAGCAAAATTTCACTGCCCCCTACTGTACAGTATATTTAGCAACAATTTCACTCGAGTTTTAAATCAAATGTGCCTGATATGACCATCTGACCCTGATTAAAGCATCCAGTACAACTGGTATGAATCTCCCCAACTAAACTACAGTAACGCACGCACGCACGCACACACACTCACGCACACACACACACACACACACACCCTGTACTTACTGCTGGCTGTTTCGCTGGTCAGTCTGGGGTCATGTTCTCCTGTTCTCTCCTTCTCCTTCTTCTCCTCCTTGATAAACTTCTCAGCCTTCTCCTTGAGCAGTAGTTTATCAGTCTTCTCCTTCAACTTCTTCCGTTTGTGGTCTTTGTGTTTAACCTCCTTTAACCTGTTTTCACTGGTATGGGGTCAACAACAGGACATCTTTTAATAGAAGACACAACAGTAAACACAGAGACAAGTGAATAGAGAACATAAATGAGCTTTGTCATGTCTCTTCCCACCTCCCTGACACACCCAGAGAGGAATTCCCTAATAGTGAGGTAACATAACACACCTCCCATTATCCCGCACATCCAAAATATATAAACAACTAACACACTTTAATCCCCATAGCCAAGACAGCTTTAACACTCATTCCAAACAGAGACAACGTGACATGATGGACGTATCTACTCTAATATAAACCTATGTCAAAACACACAATGTAAACACACACACACACACTTGGGACATCACGACACAGCTACCCAAGGGGGGGGGAAGCATCACTGTACCTATACTAGCACTACTGCTGAAGAAACCCATGAACCTGACTCAATGAGCACAAAACACACCCTCAACACTCACCTAAAATCAGCATTGTCGCCAAAACCACTGCTGTGACTGGACCCGCTGTTAAGGCTCTTGCTGCCACTGTAACTGGAGGAGAGAACAAGTTATATACAGTACCATCATTAAAGTCTTTCTTAATTATCTTAATAATAAATCATCAAATACAAGTTAATACGGTTGTTTAAATCATTTACTTGTGCCTCAATCATCTCAAGTATTACCAGTATTTTTATAAGACTTCTCAATCATCCCAAATATCACACTTATAAGACAATACCTAATAAAAAGGAATTTATTTTTATTTCCCCTCAATAACCTCCTTTATCCATTTCTCTGTGTCGCCCTTTCACTTTCTAACAATATTTCTGACTTATGTATTTTTCTTCCTTTTCTCTTCACCCAACTTTCACTTCTCTCTCAGAACGGTAGTCAGAGGACCTAAGGCAGTCATGGTCACCTTTCTATCTGATTCTCTCTTCTCTTCCTCCTTGTTCATCTCCATATGTCTGTTCCTTATTCTTTGTTTGTTGTTCTCTTTTATTTTTGTTGTTACCAAATTCCTGTTTCTTCTGTTTCCTTATTTATTCCTATATTTGCTTCCTTTATTACAGTTTTCTCTCCCCCTCCATCCACCTCTTTCTCTCACTGCACCTGTTGCTTCTTTCTGTGATATACTGCGCGTGATCTAGGTATATGCTGACAATAGCTGCCGCCCCTACAGCTAACTTCTACCAGTGATGGCTGCCTTTTTAAGATTATGGCCGACACATCATTACCATCATCACCTGGATCAATCACAGCAGGTGGGTGACGACCTCCATTGTGTACCTCAACACTTGTCCTCACCAACACACCTGGAGTACTGTGCTGGGCCGGGCTCTAGGTCTCAGGTGAACGGTTTCTCTTGTCTGCCGTTGGTTTGCTTTTGCAATATGGGCCGCCCATTGCCACCCCAGTACCTCTGCCCTTGTGATATTATCTCCCTGGATACTGTAGCTTCAGATCTCCTGCATTTGTCATTCAGCTAAAGCCATAAAGCGTAACGACTCACACAAGAGATGAGATGGAAGGCAAAGTTCGCATACAGTAAGTACTTAAAAATGCCATCTTGTTTACTCTTACACTGCACTAACTCCAGGTAAACAACAACAGCAGCTCTCATATTGTACTATAATGGCCAAAAAGATTTTGTCAACCTCACACCATTGTTTCCATCTACTTGTGTTTACAAATGCTGTAAGTCGGTCGCTTTTCTTTTTTTGTACCGCTAACAAATTTACCATTGTTCTGACCACGCAGGTGCGTGCGATTTTTCTGTTGCAACCTGGAAAAACGCCAGGAGAGGGAGGGTCATTTCTGTAGTTTTCATAATGCAAGTCACAACACCTTAATACAGTACTGGGTAAGGATAAGAGAGGTTATGAGAAGGGTGATAGTAGAGTAGGTGAGGCTGTTGCATCTTTCCAGGTAAAAAGACACACACACACATGGACAGGTGGTGAGGCGGGTGGCGAGATGAAGCTATTCCTTCCATCACCCGCCAACCTTTAAATTTTAACATCACAATCAACCGTCCCCGAGACGTATATGAATGAGAAATTGTGAGAAAATGAGATATTGATAAATGAGGTACACAGAATAGGGAGAATAAAGACGTGAAACAACTACAAAACAAGAGTGGATGAATTTACAATACAGTACGTATATCATAATAACAGAACAGGGTGATAACCAATTCATGTATTTCACGCTGACACAAGTACACCAGTAAATCCTTAACAACCTCCAGCACTTGTTATCTCAGCACCATAGAGATGATGATAGAATTAATACATTACATATCTACCCGAGGAACATTGTCATCACCTGAGGTTTAGCCCCACCCTAATACAATCCAAGGGAGAGGAAAGGGTTAAGTTAGGTTAAGTTAGCACTAGGTTAAGTCAGGTCAGGATGGTTAACCTTAAGGTTAAATAAGTTAGGGGTGTTAATCCAATAAAACTCTCTCATATCTCGCTCTTTCATTCTCATCTCTCTCATTCTTTCATTCTCATCTCTCTCTCTCTTTCATTCTCATCTCTCTCTCTCTTTCATTCTCATCTCTCTTACCTTTTTTGTGATGGTCCCTGGGAACTGGACTCCAACGACCCATATGCTGACTCCTGTTGGCCAGGATTCTTAGCATCGTCGATGGATTGCTCCTCCATGGTCACCCCTGAGAACACACAACACTTACATCAACACCACAGTTGAGAAACAAGTTATATTTCACATAAACATTAAGACAGACACTCCCACACTGCTCTCTATATCATACTGCAGGGACTCGGATGGAAAGAGAATAAGAAGGAATAATAATCTTGAAGGTGTAAGATATCCCATGGTTGGTTACTGCAAGAGGAAATGCTGGTAGTATTATGACCAACACGACACACAGACAGACTAATCAGATATTAAATGAAAAAACTTTCCCTAATTTGTTTCAAAATCTCACATGAAAGAGGCGGCATCATCACTATCAATACTTGAACTGAAAAGGCTATGGTCCAGCTCCTAAACTGCTCCACAATCACCACAATAAACTACATGTACAAAGCACTGTGTTCATCCCTGGAACAAGTGAGTGCATGAGGCCATGAGCTGATAAAATCTATTTATAACGGTGACCGCACTGAAATGTGTCTCAGAGTGGATGGAGGTTTTAGATGTCAGAACCCTGCAGGAGCTGATGGCATTACTTGGATACTCTCTCCAACATCTTCACAAACAAATAACCTTCTTTTGCATATTTTACCGTCCTTTATAACTCTTAGTTTCTGAAAATTAAATTGTAAATAAAATTCTAACTAAAGTGTCCAGTATTGTACAGGTGTATAGATGCCTAAGCCATTACAGTAGTTGTGACAGTCATAACTTTATTCAGCACAGAGTACAGTACAATACCTACCACCTGCCATCCTAGCAATATCAGTACATATCTAATTGTTGCTGGCATCCTAGTTGGTGGCCAACAGGGTACACCAATTAATATTCACTCCAGCTGAGGATGCATCAGGTGAGGACTTAAATACTATGTGAGTTTCTTTTAAAGTACAAAAACTGGAGGGTAAACATGCTGCCGAGGAGCACACGTACGGTACTGTATACAGTATATTGATGTATTAGCTAATGTAGAAGTGTATGCTATTTCAGAGCCTTTGTTGTATCCTGTATTATAGGGGTACTGTATCTCAGACCCTTTGCTGTACTACTGGCAAATATACTGGTAGTAATGTACAATACAATATTTTAGTCATTTTGCCTCAATTAAACATATTATGCAAAGTATATTTCCAGAAGCCTTCATAGGACCTCAGGAGAACTTGATCAAAGCCACAGACAGATAATATAGAAATACAGTAGATAGATAGATTAGAATCCACTCTTTCAAGTACTGTAGATATTAAAGGGCAGAGAGAGACATACACAGATTATATACAGGTACAGTAGATATTTAGCAAAATCATTATAAAAGTTTACATTGATTCAGCATATACATATAGGCCTAATCAATACAGGTTACAAAGTCGTCATAGCTACAAGTCAAACATTGATAAGACGAATGACTTTTAAAATTAATTAGAAAATAAAAGGAATATTAATATGGATAAACATTTCACTACTCAACAGAATTTCTATACAGGTATACGTAACAGCATTTCAAAATAATATGATTCCTTTCGTAATACAGTACAGGGACATGGTAATAATGGTTAGGTTAGTGAAAAACTTTAAAGAAATGTCTCAGATCACCTAAAGATAGCATCCCCCCCCCCCTAAGCTTATTGCACCTGAAGACTGACCAACCTAACAATAACAATACCCTAATATATCTTAACCTCATCTCCCTAAATTATGTTAGGGTGGTTAATCTTTAGATGAAATAAGCTGGGGGGGGGATCTTCAGGTGATCCAATGTCTCTCTGTCTGGTCAGGGTAAGGTTAGGTTAGGTTTGAGTGGTTACATAACTTTGGTACAGTACAGTATGAATATGATTTGATTTGGTTGTAATTGGCTACACTGTACTGTATATAAGGGTTAGGTTAAATCTGATTGGCTACACTGATAAGAATTGGTTAGGTTAAATCTGATGAGACTTGGTTAGGTTAAATCTGATTGGCACTATTTAGGGAGGGGGTACTGTACTAACTTAACATCAGGGGGCGAGAGTATAAAAAAAATCGACAATTGTCAACTTGTGTTCTCTATCTACATGTTAGGCTAACTGCAAGCTTGTTTGACGATTTTTCTGAATATCTATCGACCTAATGAAAACTACAATATAGTTCCCCTCAGCACCAAAAAGGAAAATGGCCATTCATATCGTGAGTGGGAAGGAACAGTGTAGCAACAAAGAAAACGGAGCCATTCAGGACAAACACTGACCTACTAACAATATACTGCACTGTACTGTAGGTAGGCAGCTATTCGTCTCTCCGTAACTGCGCGTTATTAAGATCACATCAAGATCAGACACCCAAGCTTATTTTACCTGAAGATTAACCACCCTAATACAACCTAATCTAACCTTATCTGACTTCCCTATCCTGATCAATAGGACATAAATTCACCAAACAGATGACAAGGTTACCGCAGTGAATTGTAACATTGAATTGTAACAGTTTATTTAGCCAGAAAAATACAGATACAGAGTGGATAATAATAACAATACTAACATATTGCTGAGCCAGTTGAGAACCTGAGCTCTCTTTGAGTGAGGGTTGCCATAAAAGGTGTTTGCTAGGTTTGAGTAACTGCGTGGTGATAACACAAACTGAACAAATCCCAACCCAATGACCATGCAATATATATATATATATATATATATATATTTATTAATCACAAGGAAAGAAAACAAAGAAGTTACAAAAGCCTTTTTGTAATATTCAATCTTCAGGGTGTACAGACTAAAGAAGTAAAACAAGAGTGTATAACAGAGATACATGTCCACCAATTACCCACGACCCCACAACCTTTAAAGCATGCCAACTTTCAAGATCATAGCAGGGTAATCACAACACTCTCACCCGGTCTCAAATCTCTTAAATACAAAAATTGTCATTTGTAATTCCTAATTATTTCTCAACCTAGAAAGGACACTACACAAACCAAAAAAGAGGAATCTCTTTCTTTCCTTTAAATACCTAGACCACGCCCACCTACATGATATACCATATATATATATATATATATATATATATATATATATATATATATATATATATATATATATATATATATATATATATTAGTTACGTTAGGGTTTAGTGTAGGTTAGGTCAAGTCAGGTCAAGTATGGGTTCTCAATTACGAATTCCCAGAAATATCTTTAAATCCTCACTCAGGCAAAGTTCTAACTCCTAAAAAATAACCGTATATAGAGCCCTTCGGCCTATGAATGAACATTACATAAGAATCTAAGATATGTAGCCCATTTATAGGCCTATGTGCCACGTGAAACAATTTCGGCCTACACCAGCCATCATCAGGGCGGAATGAACTAGTCATCTATAGACCTACACGTTAATAGGCTATGTGCTACTATTATTATTATTATTATTTCTACTACTTACTGCTTCTCTTTATGACAAAATTTACTATTAAAATTACATTTTAATTAAATCTCACCCACACGTAGTCGCTATAGTATCAAAATCTTCGGGCATACCATCGTGTTAGGCCTATGTTACCACTCAAGGCTGTTGGTATCCAGAGAATATTAACCTTCTCGCCACTTTAACGAAGATCATGGAATATTAGCGGTGTTAGTGACTTATATTATTATTATGGTACCCCCTTCCCCCGGACTTACCCTGGTTGTCTGTCTCCGCCATGTTTTAACTTTATCCCGTCTTTAAATCACAAGAAACACTTTAACCTTTCTCCGTATCACTCTTCATTGTCTTTGAGATTATCTTCTTAACACTTCAATAGTTTATGTAGTAATAAATCCACGTTATTTGACATTGATAGTAATCCTTGGCACAATGCAGCAGTACACCTTCCCTCCACTGACTCTTGGTTATTACTGATGCCAGTCTCCTGAATCCTCATTCTCATCTCTGATGGTGGTCGTCCTCCTCTCCCACCAGCTGGCCAGCGCCTTCATATCTCACATCGGCTATTGTTATACCGCAGCCTCTTGTCGTACACCAGACGGCACGTGTTGTATATAAACCTCGTGATAGATAGACAATGTATAATATAGATAGAAATAGATATATAGAGATACATACAGAAAGTCTGGGTAATATATATATATATTATATATATATATATTATATATATATATATTATATATATATATATATATATATATATATATATATATATATATATATATATATATATATATATATATATATATATATATATATATATATATAAATAGAGATATACATATCTGAACATTCTAGTATGTCCTAACACTGTATTGTGTTGTTTAATTTAAGTTTACCAAGATCTTTGCCTTGCAGCTAGGGTCATTTCTTCTAGTATTAGAGATGAACCAAATCAACTCTGTTTGTTCATTTGGGGATAACAAACATTTAATGACTGGGATAATGCCTCCTCAATATTACCATGTAATTCAATTGATAGTAGGAACATCATAGAATCTAGTCTTATTAAACATACCGAAGCATCCAACATGAATTTGAGTAACGGCATGTACAAGCTGGACAATTTTGTAATTAAGAAGATTTGTGATCAGGTGAGAAGGCCGGGTCACTTGACCATCTGACCTGACCACCAACCGTTGTGTGCTATTTAAAGATTAGTAAGGTCATTACCTAATACCTGACCATTGTGGACCTGGTCTCACCCTCCTCTGTATATATACACCCTGATTTGTATTACTCTCTCTAGTCTGTACTCACCCTGAAGATGTAAATTACACAGCGCTTGAAGAACTTAATGTTTTCTTCTTTCCTTGTGGTTATCACATATATATATATATATATATATATATATATATATATATATATATATATATATATATATATATATATATATATATATATATATATATATATATATATATATATATATACAGTATCGGTGTACTGTATTGCATTGTGTTTTTAATGTAAACTAATATACAACATTCATGGTAAAAGAAATCTTATACTAAAAAATTACCTTGCTTAGCTGAATATCTTCATTCCCTTAGCTGCAGTCTTCTTCCTCCACTGTGTGTGACTTGATGTGCCTACGAACATCAAGATTATAGTTAAATTGCTAAAATGCCTTAAATGCAGGACAAGAAAAAAAAAGGCTACAGTGTAAAAGCCATAAGAAAAATATATATACTTTCAACATTTCATTTATGGCCATATAGCGCTAAATACAAAAACAAATTTAATAATGCGCGCTAAGAACAAGAAAAGCAGCACATGGCACTACATGCTACCCAAAATTGCTAGCAGCTAAGTTGACAACACCGTACAAGCGTACACGTGACTTATCAGCTGACGAAAACTGGACGACATCTCTACGGTTTCCACCCCTCTCTCTCGTCATTACAGTTTCATGTTTTTTTTCCGTGGAGAAAATGATGGAAGCTGAAATTCCGGACTTTAAAGAATTTTAAAATTTCGAGACCTAAATGGAGGACATGTCCGGGAAAATACGGACGTATACCCTATATATATAAAACAAAAAAAAAAAAATATATATATATATATATATATATATATATATATATATATATATATATATATATATATATATATATATGCAATAAAATCACTGTAAGTGAGCGTGATCTAGGTATATGCTGATAACCACAAGGAAAGAAGAAAACACGAAGTTCCCAAGCGCTTTCGTGTAATTCACATCTTCAGGGGTGAGTACAGACCAATATATCTCTATCTCTATCAATCTATATACCTACCTGTGTCTATCAGGAGCCCAGTACAGGTGTCACCAGAGGGCAGACCCCGTACGTGGAATCAGTTATCGTACACTAGCGCCAACATTGTTTATATGCGCAATGCCTCACGCACTAGTCAACGTGATCACGGTATAACACTCATTATATCACCCTCACAGACTCCTAATATGTACTTTGGGAACAAAATGTGGCCTGGATAGTGATTTATATTATATTGCGCATGAGTAAAATAGGTTATAACTTTATTATAAGGTATTAGGGAACTCACGCTTTTGCACACGTGAGGTGAGGAGTGCTCTTCTAGGGACTGCTCAATCTCCCCATAACATAAGGACCTCTTAATTTTATCATTATTTCTCATGTGTAACTTTTATAGTACTAATAATCTACCTCAGAAATAAATCACAATAAATCTTGGAGTATAATTAAGAGTAGTAATGGAAGCGTAGGAGTGTTGTTATTTGAGTATGTTAAAGATTATGGTGTGTGTGTATGCGTGACGTAGGGTTGGGCGATTGAAGAGCATGTGTCCCCGACGGTGTGTTTATGGGCGCTTGGGGGGGGAGGCTTGTGAAACCTATTTACCTGCAATTTACCTGTGGCCATTGTAATCAGATATGATCATGATGAGCCAAGGGTTCAATTAGTTATGTTGTCTGTATACCTGTACCTGCTGAACTGTATACCTGTACCTGCTGAACTGTATACCTGTATTGTCTATATATTAGAGGAAACTTGTTTACTTTTATTCACTTTGCCACTTATTGGTTTGTTCGCTGCTTGGGAGGTCAGTCACTTTTACTTGTCTATATACATGTATACATGCTGAATGTATACCTGCACAGACTACTGTGCCACCACCTACAGTGCCACCACCTACTGTGCCACCACCTACTGTGCTGCCACCTACTGTGCTGCCAGTCTAAAATGCTTTGGTTATTTTCGTTGTGTTGAGATACAGTATACTGTACGAGGATAGTAGTCACGTCTCTGGTCGCTATATTAAACGTCTTATGTTTCACTGTTAATTTAATTCATATTTATCATCTCGACCTTTAAAAACGTTTATTAATCCTGCGACCAAGTCAATAGTTGGTAGAACTTGTGTATTGTATGGGTGTGGCGTTAACTGTGTTAAGGCTCAAGGATACTGTAGTATATAGTGAGTGTTGATGGGCCTAGCATACTGTACCCACACGCGTCCTCGGTGTGGGTCCATACACGCCCATAATCCAGACCATCGCCACCCCCTGGTGTGTGGGCTGCCTTGTGTTATGAAGAACGAAAAATAAGCAAACACCAACATGACTCTATACACAGGTAAAGAAATGTGGATGACAGTCAGTCAGTGATGCTGTACCGTCTCTACATGCTACGAAGACTTAGGTCACTTGGGACACCCACGCCAGAGCTGAGGACCATCTACAACGCCTTTATTCTCCCCAAACTAACGTATGCGTCACCAGCCTGGTCGTCTTCTCTCACCCAACAACGTCAGCTAGAGAAGGTACAGAAAAGGGCCTGCAGAATCATGCTCGGCGCAGAATACTCCGGCTACATCAATGCTCTCTCCACCCTGAAATGCCATCCTCAGTGACCTCCACCAAGCACTGGAAAGGTTTGCCGTGGACTATTGCACCGCCATCGCCACCTCCTCACCTGCAGCCCCCACCCAACTCGCGCAGTCCGCCACTACAACAAATTCAGCCCATAAGAGCCCGCACCGATAGATATAAGAACAGCACCATCCCATCTAATGTTAAAATAATAAACAACTCCTGATTTATGTACTGTACAGCCCTGTAAATGTATTCAATGCATATTATATCATTATGTCTAAATCAAATGTAAGTCTGTATATTTTCAGCCACCGGCTGCAACTCTATTAATAAACCGTTTATTATTATTATTATTATTATTATTATTATTATTATTATTATTATTGTTATACAGGCAGGTGGTGTCTCTCACCAGGCCAGGCCCCCCGCGACAACATTGTTGTCAGGGTCCACCTCTTGTTTCACCATGACCCTAGTAACAGTGTTGTCAGGGACCAACCCTTGGCTCAGAAGTGTCTACATTGCCAGACCTACACCCCACCCCTCCCCAGGTCCAGCCCCAGACGCTACCCTAAACACTGCGGGCCGCGCCGCCTCGTTTCCCATCCCTTAAGCTGGGGTCAACACACGACTGTACACCAAGAATGTTCATTAAACTCCTACACTACACAGCAGGTGGCTGCCACCTTCGCTCAGAGGGTTTCGTCAGGGTGATCCTGGTGCTCCCTCACACATCTGTCGTGGCAGACGTAACCATAACGCCAACACCATCACCCTACACCGAGGGAGGCAACACACCGCACGAGCCAGCGTGGTAGTCAGGGGAAGAGGGACTGTCCACCTCAAGTTGACGTCCACCCCGCCCCGCCCACTGGGGCCACACTAAGAACACCTGCCCTCAGTCGGACAAGCTAAGATGGCAGTACCGTACACGTGCCTCAACGAGATGTCCTGTTCCTCCTCCATAAACTCGAGGGACTCATGGAGGAAAGTAGTAGCCCGTCGTACTTGGGTTCATACAAAGGAGTGTTAGTTACAAGACTAGCGAGGTCATCCTAAAACTGTATCTTGCTCTTGTGAGACCACACCTGGATTACGCAGTTCAGTTCACAGCCCGTATTACAGAATGGATATAAGAATCCTTGGAAAGAATTCAGAGGAGAAGACAAGACTAATCAGGCATTAGAAACCTTGAGTATAGAGACAGGTTAAAGCATCTTAATTTGCACTCCTCGAGAGACATGAGAGCGAGGGGCGACCTGATAGAGTGTATAAGTGGAAGGCAGGGGCTAAACAAAGGGACATTACAAAGGTACTCAAACTATCCAACCAGGAGCGAACTCGTAACAATGGTTTTAAATTAGACAAATTTAGATTTAGGCGGGAAATAGGTAAAATTGGTTTGAAACAGATTAGTGGATGAATGGAACAAGTTACCAAAATCATCATTAACTCGAATACGCTGAATAGCTTCAAACATAGGTTGGATGCTTATTTGAGCAATAGGGTTGGTGTAAACGGGACTGCCCAGTATGGGCCACAGGCCCGCTGCAGTTTCCTCCATTCTTATGTTAACTAAGCATCCTCCTTCCCGCCATCAACAAACTATGGCGAC